TGTAGAAAATGATTGTCACAATGGCTGTTACACATGTCCCAAATAAAGCCGCAGCAGTGAGGAGTATGCCCATAATTTCATCGTATGATAAAAAGACTGCTTCCTTTTTAATACAGGCATCTCTTCTCTTGTTTGACCAGGATTCAGGGGGACATCTCACACAGGTGACAGCATCTGCAAAACATGGCATTAAACTTAGAGAATACATATTTTTTTGTGTCTTTTGATGTCAAAATGTATCAGATTATGGAAAGGAAGAAGCAATGAGTCTTCTTGGTTTTCTTGCTGAAGTGATTTAATCCTGAGAATCTTTAGAAGGGGGGAAGGATTAAAAAAATTACTTTCCAAACAATTTAGTATTGTTAAAAAAAAAAAAACATTTCTATCAGGTCAACTTTGAAAACATTTTCTACCAACAAATGTTTGGCAATTTGCTGCAAAAAAATCCAAAGAACAATTTTTATGGTATTGAAAACATTCCTTGATGACAAAATGCTGTCATCTGTCATTTAATGATCTTTGCTCCTAAATGTTTTTGAGTTAATTATACTCTAATTCAAGCCTGCAACTGGAATAATACACAGCTACTCTGATTCAGATTTATTCGTGTCACAAATGGGCAATTGATGTTACAGAAAGGACAAAATATAACAAACTGTCATACTTTCACTGACAAAAAAAAATAAAAAATTTAAAAAAAAGTCCAATATTGTGTTAAAATGTTCTATACCTGTAATGTTGCTGATTTCTCCTTCTGCACATCCTATACAGTCATGGCAGCAAACAGGTTTTCCTTTCTGGAGAACCTTCCGGGTCCCTGGGCGACACTTCTCACTGCAAACCGACACAGGGACCTGCAGAAGCAAAAGTGTCAAAAAAGATTCATTTTCCAAGAACTTAAAAATAACAAAGCAGTAACAAGTATTTATTATGTCAGTAAAAATATGAATCACCATTTACAGTTGTTTGTACCTGTTTTGAGCTCTGTGACCACAGTATTGACTTGTTTTGCAGTTTTAGCTGCTCATCAAATGGTAATGACGCATCATAAACACCAACGGTGATAAAGTCCACAATGCCGTTTTCTCTTGCTTGCCAGTTTATAACTTCATACTTTGCAGCTGGATCTCCGTTCTCGTTAAAGTAAACCTCTTCTCCCTCCTTTGTCTTGAAGTGAATCTTTTGAATGTGCTGCAAAATCTAAGGAATATAGTCTTTTTTTAATTGCATAACTCAAAGGATAACTGTATCACTTCTCAGCATTCTTTCCCTTTGCTCTTTTTGATGTATGCACATGGAAAAACCCTGACATTATATCTGCTCACCGTGAATGGGTCGAGATGCACATTGTTGTTGCAGGTTTTATCACATCCGAGAATGTCATGCAGAGCATGAGCCACTGCATACACTCCCTTGTACACATTGTTAAAAATGGGCATGAGGGACATGTCAGTGAAGCTGTTCTCCACTCCAGTCAGATCCTCATGTCCAGTACATTCTCTGTCATTTTCATCCGATTTCTCCCTCTTGAACTTGCAGCTAAACAACGTCTCCCAGAACTCTGTGTACAAGTCGCTATTCAAGGATCTGAGTGGCCTCACGTCTAGTATGAACTCTCTGAGACCACTCACATGTGTATTGGGGATGGAAACGCCGATCGCACCGTCCAGCATGTGATTCTTATCCACGGCCGCAATTTGAGAATCGAAGATCCAGGACTCACTTCCCACCCACTGGTACCCGGTCAGGTTATAGTGGGACATCTCGTGTATCAGCACATCCATGTCCAAGTGTGATACAAAAGCAACAATCACTTTGGAGGTCGAAGCCTGTATCGTTTCGATCACCTTCTGGATTTTTTCCGTTGAATCTGTTCTGAAGAAAGAGACAGAATACTCCAGACAGATGCCCAGCTGCTCTGCGATTTCTGTGAACGTCGCCATGCCGTTGTTGCCGTAGTCGTCGTTGGTTCTGACGGCTCCGACCCAAGTCCAGCCGAAATGTTTGACCAGCTGAGCCAGAGCTCTGCTCTGATAGTAGTCACTGGGTATTGTTCTGAGAAACGACGGATACTTGGTTTTATCACTGAGACAGGCACATGTGGCAAAGTGGCTGATCTAAAAGAAATCAGATATTTAGAAAATACAAACACACGCTTTTAATTAAATTTGGATAACTTTTTAGGAAAAAAAGTAGATTTAACAGCTCTACTTACCAATGGTATGTGAAACGGTCCAATGAGAGTACCTATTGCAGTGCTGGGAGATGAAGAAGTTTCCCCCACTATGGCCTGCACTTGTACTGGTCTGGTACACGGCGTGTCAGAGTTTGAAGATGTATTCACATTGTCATTGTTCAAAGCCAGAGCAACTTTTATTGTTTTGGGAATTGAACCACAAGTGTCGTAGATGCTGTAGCCCAGAGAAACGCCCGGCAGTAGGTCTGTACTGTTGTTTATTTCCTCAATGGCAAAGAGCATAGTCTGTGCAAACTGGAACTCTCTGAAATTCAAGCTTGATTGAAGATTAACAAAAGGATGGCATGACAAATGACAATACAATGGTAAGCTATAATTAAGCGTTTGTGGTGAGAGTTACCTAATGCATTGCAGAGCCAAAGGCTTTTGTGTGTACATGTCCTCTCTGTTCTTCCAGCTGCTGTGGAAGTAGAAGATCCCACCCAACACAATGTCCCCATCCTGGGACAGCTGAGCCATCTCAGGGTCTCCTATCTGCACGCACCAGGGCTCCTCCGTCTGTGACAAAGACACCAGAAAAACGAGCTGGAGAAGAGCACATCCCAGCTCAGACCATCCCTGCATGAATCTCATGTTTTCTGAAATGTGCAAATTACTGGGTGGTGTTTCATAAACCATAATATAAACTAACACTCCGACAGTCTCTTATGAAGGGATCTGCGTATAAGTGACATGGTGTCTCAGTGGAACTACAAAAAGGAAAAATGGGAGGGACTTGGTGACCAACTGTTATTGTGCTTGAAATATGATTTATATGATTTAAATGTGTATCGTGATTCATATCTTGACCTCTTCCCTTCAAGTTTATTTTATATTCAAATTCGTTTTTCTTGATATGTATTTTTATGAAAATTGAAGCTTTTTGGCAAACCTTTTTTCAATGCAGTACAAAAATGAAACGAAAATGAATTCAGTGTGGTAACGATCACACCAACACAATAGACACATTAAAGTTCAATTTGTAAAAGTGTTTCCATCCACAGATACATGATGCAAGTTTTTGCCCTCTTGAATAATCAGTCCGTCTAGATTATGTGCACAGCACATTTCAGCAACAGGGCCGTTCAAAGAGCTTCACTTCTTCACAACACAAGTTATATATACAAAAAACACACCATATATTCAACAGTTCAGAAAAAGCAGAGTGGCGCAGCGGAAGCGTGCTGGGCCCATAACCCAGCGGTCGATGGATCGAAACCATCCTCTGCTATGCTAATCTTTTCACAATACATTCAAAGTGTCTCATTGACCTTTCCATCTTGTTCCTGCTCTCGTCTCTGTGTTGTTTTGTCAAGAAGCAAAACAGTCTTTTCCAAAATCTTTGTTCTGAGCTGCATCGGAACATTGTTTAAAAATAAATCCTCCTTACATCCTGGTAGAGAAAGGATTCTTCCAAAGAAGAAATGATGACTACTGCTCCAACCTCTTGTCTTCCATTGTTTACTTTGCCCTTCATCAATTAACCGGTGGCGTCAAGTGGACTTCCTGTCATGTTTTTGGGACGGAGATGATGCTGAGGACTCTGCAAGGGCAAGCGGCTGGTGTGGACAACATAACAAAAAGTTGCTCAAGCTAGCTAGGAGTTGAACCTGGACTCTTCTGATCCGTAGTCAGACGCGTTATCCATTGCGCCACTAGCCCATCTGGCTGCTAGAAGCTCCTTGTCATCGTGTCGGACCACGACTGACTGGTCCCAGCGTATGGTAAAGAAATTGTACTAATCAAAACACATGCATAGTGGGAGGGTTGAAATCATGACCTTCAGATTACAAGACTGCCACGCTGCCAACTAGGATCTATAAACACTGCAGAAGAAAGATGCAGTGTGTAGAAGCATGTGAACGCTTCTTATCACTGTGCGCCAGCACCGTTGATAGCTCAGTTGGAAGAGTGGACGACTGTAGAATACAAAAGTGGACATTCTTCGGTTCGTTAGGAGTGGCTGATGAACAACACGTTCTAGCGACAAGCCGTGATCACATAGTGTTTAGTACTCTGTGTTGTGGCTGCAGCAACCCTGGTTTGACTCCAGGTCATGGCAAGTTGATTAAAAGCAGAGTGGCGCAGCGGAAGCGTGCTGGGCCCATAACCCAGAGGTCGATGGATCAAAACCATCCTCTGCTATGCTAACCTTGACCTTTCCATCTCATTCCTGCAAATCTTTAGTGGAAAGGTTTGTTAGGAGTGACTGACGACCTATACATAGTGATCGTATAGTGATTAGTACTCTGAGTTGAGGCCACAGAATTCTACCAGTGTTCTCCATCGGCACAAAATAATTGTATTATTCAAAACGCATGGCTCGTGTGAGGTTTGGATTCACGATTTTCAGATTATGCGACCGACGCACTGCATACTGCGCCATCTAGGCTGAAAACTTAAATTTTGTTTTCGTTCATCTGGAGGAAGCACATAAACACACTTTTCTGTTCCAAGGATTTATTCAGTGACTGGATTAGTTCTGAGTCACCCGGTGACGTCGTAATGTAGAGATGTGCATCATCTGTGTGGCTATGAAAGCTAATCTTAGCTAATAGTCTTTAAATTTGACTACGTTTATGCCTTTGAAATCATGTAGATTACAGTTTTATATAAGATCCAGGTTTAGACTTGCTTGTTTTAAAAGTGTTACTGTTTATTTGTACAAGTTGTAGTACACATATGAATTTATTCATGATGAAAAATGCATATAAAGTAAACATCACATTTACATTCAGATTTTGGTGGCGGTGAAGCTTTATCTTCAGAATGACTTTTGTGGCCCTTTCCCCATCATGTTCTTTTTTGTGTTTTTCTCTGGTTTCAGTAACATGATATAACATTTTGGGATAAAAATACAAATTAACAGCCCAAAAGTGGAGGCAAGAATAGCAAAGATCTCCACAGCAACACTGAAATTTCCAGGAGAGCTGACGTACGCCGGGATGAAAGTGATCCACACAGCGCAGAATATCAGCATGCTGAAGGTGATGAATTTGGCTTCGTTGAAATTATCGGGCAACTTCCGAGCTAAAAAAGCAAAAATAAAACACAAGACGGCAAGAAGTCCTATGTAACCGAGGACGGACCAGAAACCCACAGCAGAGCCCAGGGCACACTCCAGGATGATTTTTTCTTTGAATTCCTCAAAATTTTTAGATGGAAAAGGAGGAGAGATGCTTAACCAGAGGATGCAGATGATCACTTGTACGAGAGTGAAACCCAGAACGCTCAGCCTCTGCTGCGTAGGTCCAAACCATTTTATTAAATTTCTCCCAGGAAGTGTAGCTTTGAACGCCATTAAAACCACCATGGTTTTCCCCAGAACACAGGAGAGGCAGAGCACAAAGGTGATGCCGAAGGCCGTGTGGCGCAGCATGCAGGACCACTTAGAGGGCTGGCCGATGAACGTCAGAGAGCAGAGGAAACACAGAGTCAGAGAGAAGAGCAGCAGGAAGCTCAGCTCAGAGTTGTTGGCTCTGACAAGAGGAGTTTTTCTGTATCTGAAAAAAATTACTATCACAATGGCTGTTACACATGTTCCAAATAAGGCTGCAGTGGTGAGGAGTATGCCCATAATTTCTTCATGTGATAGAAAAACAGCCTCCTTTTTAATACAGGCATCTCTTCTCTCATTTGGCCACAATTCAGGGGGACATCTCACACAAATGACAGCATCTGCAAATTTAACAAATTAAATTTATATATACAGTATAAATGTAGTATGTTTTTAAACTTTTATTTCTGCCATAAAGACTCAGCCAAAAAATATCTACAACTTTTAAGCTCAGATAATTTCATTTTGAGATTATTCAGAACTTTTGACCACATAATTTTATCTTACATGTTTGTCATATAGCATATACTCTTAACTTATGAAACTAGTCCTAAGCTTGTTCTCTGAAGATTTATTTTATTTTTTTTTAAATCAGTTTTCACTAGCTGATACTGCAACAAATTGTATATGATACTGGTTAAAATCATTGTGAGTGCATATTCAATAAACAATATCCTTGGAAAATTCCTTCATTTCAACAGCTTAATTTACCAACGGAAACAAATGATATAGATTAACTTCACTCACACTGACGTTTTAAAACCTATGCTAAGATATACATATTTCTATATTTTTATTTTTTATTTTTTTTAGTTTGCAAGTCAAGTTTGTAAGTAAATTATTTTTACCTATAATGAAGAAAAATAGTAGGTTCCATTTCCTTTTTGCAACTCTTTGAGATTGGAACTTCTTTTGTTCAGTATTAACATTTTTTAAATATTGCATTAAAATCATCTATACCTGTAACATTGCTTATTTCTCCATCGGCACATCCTATACAGTCATGGCAGCAAACAGGTTTTCCTTTCTGGAGAACCTTCCGGGTCCCTGGGGGACACTTCTCACTGCAAACCGACACAGGGACCTGCAAAAATCACCTTCACAATATTATATGTTGTTCTCACTGGTCTTTATGACTGTTTTCGAATGAATATAAATATGAAATATAACATAAAAATATTTAAACACTGAAAAACACGCATTTAGCAACTGCAGCAGTTTTTACCTTAGTTGAGCCCTGCGCCCATTTTAAGGCCTTATTTTGAAGACTCAGCTGTTGGTCAAATGGTAATGATGCATCATAGACCCCAACTATGACAAAGTCCAAAGTGCCATTTTCTGTTGGCTGCCAGTGCATAATTTCATACTTTGCAGCTGGATCTCCGTTCTCGTTAAAGTAAACCTCTTCTCCCTCCTTTGTCTTGAAGTGAATCTTTTGAATATGCTGCAAAATCTAAGACACAAGTTTTGTTTTGTTTTTTTTAAATTCCACACCTCAATGGATGTAATACATGGACATCTGCCTTAGTGCACTTCTCTGTAACCTTTGTCTTTACTTATGTCTTTTATCCTCACCGTGAATGGGTCGAGCTGCACATTGTTGTTGCAGGTTTTATCACATCCGAGAATGTCATGCAGAGCGTGAGCCACTGCATACACTCCCTTGTACACATTGTTAAAAATGGGCATGAGGGACATGTCAGTGAAGCTGTTCTCCACTCCAGTCAGATCCTCATGTCCAGTACATTCTCTGTCATTTTCATCTGATTTCTCCCGCTTGAACTTGCAGCTAAACAACGTCTCCCAGAACTCTGTGTACAAGTCGCTATTCAAGGATCTGAGTGGCCTCACGTCAAACATGAACTCTTCGAGTCCGCTCACATGAGCTTTAGGAATGGAAACGCCGATCGCTCCGTCCAGGATGCGATTCTTATCCACTGCTGCAAACTGAGAATCGGAGATCCACCCTTCACTTCCCACCCACTGGTACCCGGTCATGTTGTGGTTTGACAACTCATGTATCAGCACGTCCATGTCCAAGTGTGCGACGAAGGCGATAATCACCTTTGAGGTGGACGTCTTTATAGTGTTGATCACCTTTTGTATTTTTTCCGTTGAATCCGTTCTGAAGAAAGAGACAGAATATTCCAAGCAGATGCCCAGCTGCTCTGCAGTTTCTGTGAATGCAGCGATGCCGTTGTTGCCATAATCATCATTGCTTCGGACGGCTCCGACCCAAGTCCAGCCGAAACGTTTGACCAGCTGAGCCAGAGCTCTGCTCTGATAGTAGTCACTGGGTACGGTTCTTAGAAAGGATGGATACTTGGTTTTATCACTGAGACAGGCACATGTGGCAAAGTGGCTGATCTGCAAAAAGATGACAAAATAAGGATCATCATCATAAATTCATCTTAAATATAATTTTAATTGTACCAGTTTGACATACCAGTGGTATGTGAAATGGTCCGATGAGAGTCGATATCGCAGTGCTGGGAGATGACGAAGTTTCTCCCACTATCGCCTGAACTTGTACAGGTTTGGTGCATGGAGTGTCAGAGCTTGAAGACACACTTTCATTGCGATTGTTCAAAGCAAGCGCAACTTTTATGCTTCTGGGAATGGAACCACACGTGTCATATATGCTGTATCCGAGAGAAATACCTGGCAGTAGGTCCGTTCTGTTATTTATCTCCTCAATGGCAAAGAGCATGGTCTGGGCAAACTGGATTTCTCTGAAATTTATACTTGATTCAAACGACAACAAGAGATAATTGCACGTGAAGCATCCACTTGCACGATAACAGAAAACAAAGGTAAGTTGTAAACAGAGCTTATAAGATATAATTTACCTGATGCATTGCAGTGGCAACGGCTTATGTTCATAGGTCTTCTCTATGTTCCTCCAGCTGCTGTGAAAGTAGAAGATTCCTCCCAGCTTTATGTCGCCATCCCTGTGCAGCTGAGGGGTCTCAGAATCTCCCAGCTGCCTACATAATGGCTCCTGAGTCTGAGAGAAAGACACAGATAACAACAGCTGTAAAAGCACACAGCCCAACTCAGGCCAACTGTGCGTGAAACTCATGTCTGCAGAAGCCAAATCACCAAACAGCATTTCATAAACCTTCAGGCAAACCAACGCTTGGAAAAGGTACTTTATGAATCCTGGATCAATTCATATATGAGGGACAGCCACGTTTTTCTCTTTGTGGGACAACAAGGCGGAGAAAAGGGAGGAGCAACGTTACAGGGTTTGGTTTCTTTTAAAATAAATTGAATATATGTAATTAGGGAAGACAGTTTCACTTCTGAAAATGAATTCATAACAGATGTAACATTAATCCAGCAAAGTTTAAAATAATGCATTCTCCTAACCAACAACACTTTTACAGAAGTTTGTTGTTTCCAAATGCAACAAATGGTAACAGTGATGAATAAACAACTAAATATTTTTATAGTTGTCTGTACGTCATAGAAAACCATCTGGTCACAGTTATCTTCTCCTTTTGCTTTGAAATATCACTCAATAGTTAAATTTTTTTTCTTAGTTTATTATGTTTGTCTCTCATTATGTTATGCATGCTTTATATGTTCAAATATCCATATTTCTAGACGTGGTGTTGCTGCCAGTTTTAGTAGAAGGGTTCAATTATAAGCAAAAAAAAAGTTGTCGTCTAGTAAATGTTTTCTTTTTTGTGGCAATATGTGCGTGTGTGTGTGTGTGTGTGGGTGGGTGCTGTGACACAAAAAAGCCACACTGCAAGTTTTTTTCTGCTTTATTTTAGTCAAGCTTTTATTACTGACAAGACAAGCTTGGACACATGTTGATGTATGAAAACTGTAAAACCTTTATCCTCATTTCATTTAGAGTTCTTTGCATACCAACATGCTGTGTTCAATGTTTTCTTATCACGCACAACAGTGACATTTTCATCAGAGAGAGAAATCTAGTGACATTTGTAGAATTAATTACTGTAATTTATAAAAATTTATCACTCTTGTTTGGTGAGATACAACATTAATATTTTCTCCATGAGAAAAATCACAATAGTATGATTTTTCTTCGTTTTTTTTCTCAGTTGAAACATACATCTTAAAGTGTGCTTTTATTCACCAAGTGCTTCTTTGTATTGTTTTGGGGTTTAAATAAAATGATGTAACACTTAGGCAAAAAAATACACAGCAGCATCCCATAACTTGAAGCCAGAATAGCAAATATCTCCACCGCCACACTGAATTTCCCAGGAGAGCTCACATAAGCTGGAATGAATGTGATCCACACGGCGCAGAATATCAGCATGCTGAAAGTGATAAACCTGGCTTCATTGAAATTGTCAGGAAGCTTTCTGGCTAAGAAGGCCAATCCAAAGCACAACATAGCTAAAACCCCAATATATCCCAACACGGCCCAGAAGCCTAAAGGTGATCCAAGTGCACACTCTAGAATGATCTTCTCGCTGTAATATTGAGTGTTTTTGAATGGATGGGGAGGGCTGACTGTTAGCCATATTACACAAATCAAAACCTGTACAAGTGTGAGAGCTAAGACACCGACCCTCTGCTGTGGAGGGCCAAACCATTTCATCACATTGCTGCCAGGAATGGTAGCCCGAAAGGCCAACAAAACCACCGTTGTTTTCCCCAGAACACAGGACACACAGAGGACGAAGGTGATGCCAAAAGCTGTGTGGCGCAGCATGCAGGACCAATCAGAGGGCCGGCCGATGAAGGTCAGAGAGCACAGAAAGCACAAACCCAAGGAGAACAGCAGCAGGAAACTCAACTCAGAGTTGTTGGCTCGGACAATGGGCGTGTGTCTTTGGCAGAAAAATATCAGGCTTACAGCCACTGTTGAGATTGCACCAAGGAACGATAAGGTGACCAGCGTTATGCCCATTAGTTCTGTGAAGGTGAGGAACTCAACCGATTTTAAGTCACATCGGTTCCTCTCTTCACTGGACTTGTACTCAGGAGGGCATTTTTCACATTTCACTGCATCTGAAAGGATAAATACGTTTAGGCTGTACAGAGAACACATCTTCAAGTAAACCAGTAAAGTGCTGGCAGTGATTTTACCCAGCAGGAACACAATGAGCACCAGGGTAAAGGCTACAAATCCCACCGCCTCACTTGTGCTGTTGCTGAACTCCCCCTCAGCACAGACAATGCAGTCAAAGCAGCAGACGGGTTTGCCTTTGATGAACGCCCGACGAGTTCCAGGCAAACAGCTGTCACTGCAGATGGATGTCGGTACCTGGTTCACAGAGACAAAACGTAAAGCTGAAACGGTGTAAAAACAAACCCCCATTGAACACAGAGTATAAATTGACTCACATCAGGACTTTCTCCTGCCCAGATGGCTCTCACTCCAACTTCCATCTCAAATTGCTGACCTTCAGGTCTGGAGGCGTCGTAATAACCAATAGTTTCAAACTGTATGTACCCTGTCTTGTCCAGTTGCCAGTTCACCAGTCCGTAACGTGCAACGGGGTCACCAAACTCGTCGAAGAAAACATTTTCACCGGTTTTACTGGTGAAATTTACCTGCGTTAGGTAATGCAACACCTGTACAGGGGAAAACATGAGTTTTTCATGATTACAGCATCATTACTGTTTGGATTCGAGCACATTGTTGTTTTTGTTTCTGTTTACCTGCCATGGTTGAAAATTTTTCCTTTCAGCACAAGTATTGTTCTCAAAGGGCCCCTCTCCATCTTTGCAATTAAACAGCATGCTCAAAGCATGAGCAACAGCGTATATGGCTTTGTTGACATTATTCAACAGGCTGGCGTCTGAAACATCAGTAAAACGCGTCGTTACGTCCCGCAGAGTCTCTGCGCCGCTGCAGACTGAAATGCGATCCTTTGGGTGAATCCCTGTTTTGGGTGACAGGGTGCAGTCAAAGAGTGTTTCCCACAACTCAACGAGTCCCCGATTTCCCGGTGCGGTGGACGGTCTGCTATTGGTGAGAAACTCCTGCAGCCCAGGGATGTGAGCATTCAGTGCTGCGAAGCCCACGGCCCCCTGAACCACGGCGTAGTTCGCCTGAGAGGCAAAGTAACGATACGTGATCCAGCCTTCGCTTCCCACCCACTGCAGGCCTGTCACATTCTGAGCATGAAGCTCTTTCATGAGTACATCAAGATCTGTTGCATCTGCAAAAGCAACTATGACCTTAGAGGTGGATTTTCTGATAATATCCACGGCTTGTAGGAACGACTTCCTGGGGTCGGTTCGGTAGATGGCGACTGAATACTCAACGCACACGCCTTCCTTTGTTGCTGCTTCCAAGAAGCTGGCCATGCCACCATTTCCATAGTCATTGTTAGTTCGGATTGCTCCCACCCAAGTCCAGCCAAAGTGTTTCACAAGCTTTGCTAGAGCTTGGCTTTGATGAATATCACTCGGTATGGTTCGAAAGAAGGACGGATAGATTCTCCTGTCGCTGAGACACGCACAAGTGGCCGAATGACTGATCTGAAAAGAAAAACAGGAAATTAAAGTCGCATCATTCTCTGCAGTCAGTCAGAATGCATGAATGCCACTCACCACAGGAATACTGAAGGGACCCAGTGAACGTGCTATGCCTATCGTAGATGTGGAGGTGGTGTCCCCAATGACAGCATACACGTTGGAGAGGTGGCTACACAACCCTTCTCCGTTTTCATATGGATTCATTAGATTCAGCGATGACATGATAGACAGAGGTACGCTTGGGCAGGAGTCAAAGATCCTATAACCGAGTGTCACATCTGGCAGCAGTTCAGTGCTGTTGTTAATTTCATCTATCGCAAACATCATGGTGTACGCATACTGAAGCTCGCCTATTTCCAGCCTGTAAAAAAATCCGAAAAAGACATGAAAATCACAGGATGACAAAAGTTTCAAATTTACCGATAACTATCTTACCCTTCACACTGAATAGCTCCCGGGTTGACTGTGAGTGCTGGACTGACTGTGACCGGGTTCTGGTGGAAGGAGAAAATGCCTCCGATGATGATATCTCCCTCCTTAGAAAACTGAGACAGTTCTTTTGTCCCGTATATTTGACATGAAGGGTTTTCCCCTCTTACATCATCCACAAGAGAGAGAAGCAACAGGCCCACAACAGGCAGCATAATTCCTCACCTGAGTACTTAGCACATAAATACTAAGTGAAAGCGCAGGCAGAGTCTGACTGCTTTATAGGAGCGCATCATACCCCAGCAGGGTTGTTTCTGAATATTTTCATTGTCTCCACCAATAACGTTGCTTGTTTTGTCACGGACAGGGAAGCAGAACTTTAAGTCCTGCACGCTCTCCTGTAAATGCTTCTATAAATTAGTTTTATCATAAAAACATACTTTTAACAATTATTACTCAGGATGCTTGAATACATTCTTTCAAAAAAGTTTGCCAATTTTTTTAAGAGTCCACAATCTCTCTCGTTCATTCACTTTAGCGGTGATGTTTGCCACGCATGTGCTAAAATGTCTCACCTGAACATTGTTTAACTGTATTTTTTTATTATTATTATTTATATTATATGTTTGCCTGGACACAGACATGTGTAGTCATCAATAATTAATCTGTTTTAGATGCTAGGATTGTTTTGTGCAATTAACTGAAGAAACAAATGTAGGTTTATGATAACAATTTAAGCTACTTTTCCTTTTTTTTATTCTTTCGTGACACTTTGCTTTGGATGACTTAAAATTTTATGATTAATTTTCCAGCTCCTCTTTTCCA